AGAAATACCATTTTTAGACCAAAAACTGGAAAAAATCTGGTTGGTAAAATCGGAACCTCATTGTTGTATGACCTAAGCCCTTTTGATCAGAAATGGATGCGTTTACCTCATCTTGTATGATTTTATTAACAGCCTTGTACAAAACTTGGGCTGCTGACTTTATATGCAACCCCTAATGTCTAAACCCAAAGGTAAACACATTTTTTCATATTATCTAGGGCTCTAATGACAGGGATGAAGCTCAGGTCACGGCGCTCTCTGTGGGCAGCCATACCAAGAAATCTACAAAGGACCAACTCTTAGGTTTAAAAATGGCACAGAAGATGTCCTAAATGACTTTATTTTATTATCATGGCAGCTAAGTGCTTTCTTCATGTCTCAGTTCTGTATACGTATATGTTTTCAATATCATGAATGTAGTTAAGAGAAGAAAAGCAGCAAATGAAGATCTCTTTCCGAGACTCTGACTGGAAGCAAGATTATGGTAGATGAGAATTTCAGACGCGCGTATAGTCATCTTGTCTTCATGGAATCTAAGTCAGGCTTATGATTTCCATGGCCCAAGCAATTCATTATCTTCTAAAAGGATTTCCCTTTATGAACTTCCTTTTTATAGGTGGAGAAACAAGAACAAATAAAAATGAAATTGCTTACCTAGGGTAAAGGAAAAACATGGATAACTTAGGAAAAAATTGCACTTTTTTTCTAAGATCCAGTCCAGTACTCCAATTCCTAAACATTACCCTTTCCTGAAACCCCCTTTCTAGGAAAGCAACTTATTGCCAATGTGCTGATCATCCAGATATGCCAGCCAAGGAGCCGCATTAGACCCAGTGTCTCATTTTATCAGCCTGATACAAAGTCAACTTTAAGATTTGTTTTGGTTCTTCTATTTGGCATTTAATAGCCTTATATCATAAAACTATTCTCTTCCTTCTTGCTGTAGGTTTTGCAGCAAGCGAAGCAGAGGCAGACTCCTTTACGCAGCAGTTGCAGCTACCGTATAATGCCATTTTATTTCCAGAGGATTGCCTATCCCATGTATTGAAAGGAGACGTGGTCTTGTGTAGACAAAAGAATCTAGCTATGAAATTAGAAGTTATATTGTAATACACACTATCAGATGAAATTGAGACACTTCCTAAATCCACATAAACCTGTTTTCTTGATTTCACAAATTTAATTTTCAAACATTTAAAACCATTTTCTTTGAAAGGTCAAGGTAACAGTTATACAATAGTATACCACTTTCCTTTCATTATATCATAAGTTTTTACAATTTTGACCTTCATCATTGTAATGTTGAACATCATCATCAGAATTAAAACACAGGAAATTATATTCAAATATAGAGATACAACAGAAATTGGCTTCAAAACTCCTGCTTCATAGACCAGACACTCCAGAAACTACTGCCTAATGTCGCTAGCAGTGGTCTGCTACGTATACATGAATACCTCATTTTATAAAGAGCAGGGTAAAGCTTTTGGTAGATTCTTTCTGAGAAATCATACTGTTCCCAGATTTTGCCCACATTGGTGTAGGGACGTCTGGGACACAGGGCTACGTGGGGCACCGACTTAACAGCAGTGGTCAACAGTTGTAGCAAAACTGGCACTTTTATAATGTTTCTTGGTTCCCAGGACAGTTCCCATCTAAGCTACTGCCTTTCCCCTTTCCCTGAATTGGTATTGAGAAGCAGCTCCATCAATCCTGCAGAGCTTTTGGCAAGCAGAGCTGGAAGGTAGTTCTTGTTGGTAGCTTTCAGCTTTGACCAATCCAAATATTTTCTTGAATGCAATGAAAGGCAACTTCATAAATGCCAGGATGATCCCACTGATAAATTTTAGGTTGCAAAATGCTGAGCTGTTACAACGTCTTTGTAGTGGAAAGTCTTAGTGAGAATTAAACAGAGATAGAAATATCATTCAACCACTGTTTCTATAATTTTCTGACTTTTAAAAAAACACAAATACTCGCTTTCACAATCTAGAAGACTGCAATAAGCCCAAGTCTACATTCCTGTCCCTCAGCGAAAGAAGACTGGTAACAGATAGAGAAGGGACTGGAGTACCTCGATATTCACAGATAAATATTTCTGTGACTTAGTTATTCTGGTGATTTGCTTAGTCTGGTGATCTGTCAGGCTCAGTGCAAGTGTGGAAGCGCATACAGAAACTGATGTATTAAATTGGATATATTAGAAAGATGTATTAAATTGGATATATTAGAAAGAAAGCATCTATTAAAGAAGTGGGAAGTTTTGCCCATAATTTTCTTTCTTGCTTGTCTTTTCACCTGCTTTTTAAGGCAGTGGATGATGCCCCTCCACACTGATACCTGCAAACACATTTTCTTGTCCTCAGATAAACTGACATCAGTAAGATTCAGCTCTAGAGGCACTACCATCACGTATTAGCTGCTTCTTGACTAGAAGACACTTTTCCCAACTTTCACAATTCCATCTTCATAGTACATTATCATGAGAGGTCTATACCTATACGCTTTATACACACCTTACATTTTGGCTTAGCTTCTATTTCTTGATGTTGCTCCCAGTCATATCAATATGTTTGCCATCAAACTTACAGCTAGATTTGCTAATTAAAATGTTATTTTTTGTACATATTCTTAAACAGACAAAAACTGCAGAGAAAATAAATCATCTCTTGAAAAATATTTGTTTTGTTAACTAGGCAGCTTGACTGAGGAAAGTAGATCTCAATCAACTACAAAGGACACAAAATGAGTCTTGCACGTTACAGAGGGACACGATGACAAGGACTCAGCAGTTTCAAGAATAGGTAAATGATAATCTCTGGAGGAGTCCAAACTAATTGGACTGTGCAGATCAGTTCTTGGAACCTGTCTTGTAGAAGATTCATCAAACATATTGTTGAGTTGATTATGGCTCTGATTAATGTTATCAACTATCTTACAGTGAAAATGGATTCTCCTCAGTATATTTTCAGTCCCAGGCCTTGGAAAAAGAGCAGGCTGTCTGTGGGGTTTCAAATAAGACTGAATTCAGATATTGATAAGCAAGGATCTCTCTCTCTCTTTTTTTTTTTTTTCCCTAAGATATAAAGGCAATACTTTATACAGGGAGGCTTATTTTGGAAGAGAAAGTAAACTTCAGAGAAACTATGGACAAATCTTAACAACACAGAAACCTTTCCTGTCTATTTTCCCCCCAGTCTTAGGAAAGAACACATCGCTGAAGTAAAGTGAGCAAACTCTGAGCAAATCTTTAGTTTCGGATGAGAAAAATAAAGTCTAACTTTCTTAACTCTAACTTTCTATCATCTTGTCTCTGTAACCTCTCTCAGCAGTTGAAGTAAGTAGAAGAACTTTAATGCTCACGTTCCTAAAAATAAAACATCCACACCCTTCTCCTGCAAAACCTTTAATATACTTACTCCCTCCTCTATACTTCTCACAACTGTTCTTCCTGTGCCCTTTCACTTATTTTCCTTTAAGAATATAAAAATGAACTTTAAATTCTAGTTCTCTTGAATGTATGATTAGAATGGGTAGCCAAAACAAGAAAAAGTAAAATATTTACATGACACAAAAAAATAAGAAAAAAGAAAAGTGCTAAAAAACTCTACAGAGCCAGCAGTTCATAACAGGAAAACCTGAAATAAAACAACTAATTACTTCTAACAATTTCTTAAAATACTGTGACTGGCAGCTATATGATATTTTGTGCTTCACCTGAAAAATATCCTTCATAAACCTTGCCTCAGATTCTGAGTCAATCAAGCAAACAACATGCTCATGCCATGTGCAGGATTTCTCTAGGTAGGTACCGTACTGCATATTCCCCTCTTTCGCTCTCTGACGGTGGGCAAAAGATGCAAATAATTTGTTGTCACTTACTTACATTCAAAACAGATACATGAAATGAACTACTGATAAGCTTCTAGAGGGCTAAAAAAACTATCCTGCCATTTTTCTACAAGCGCCATTTTTCTACAAGCACCATTTTTATAAGAGTGCAAAAAAATGTAAAGATGTAAGACAGTAAAATATTTCTTTGTTCTCAGATGAAATCTACTTCTTTTTTGTCTACATATCTCATCGAAGAAGGAAAACGATGTTACTCTATCAACCTGGATTTCAACACTTGTTTTTCATAGAACAGAAGCCTCCTGTCAAAATCTTCTTTTCCACCATCACAATCTTGGGAATCTGGATTTTTCCTTTCATGTCATGAGATCAAGTTTTCTGTTTTGCTCCATCTTAAAGAACTGTTTCAATTCTAGAGCATTTGCATCTATTGCTTCACAGTAGCAGTTAACCAGTGGAGAGAAAAAGAACTGAGCTTTGATCAAGTAGAGATGCAAACTCACTCATATCAGCAATCCTATCTTGGACTAAAATTGTTAGTTTGGCCTTGCACGGTAAAATGCATTTTTTTTTTTTGCATCCTAATACTCTGTATAGTACATGTCCAAAGTGTTAGTTGGGTACTTATTTCCATTTATGACCTTATGAGAGGCAATGCATGCTCTAAATCCTTGGCTCATTTTTAGACATCAGAGTTGAGATCCTCAATGCAAACAGATGATCGGTAGGATATTCTATATTGTCTAATTCCCATTGAAATTTGAGTATCTTAAAAATCTTGCAGCTCTGCCACAGAGCTAAACATGACCAACAACATTCTTACTTTAAAGTAGCAATGCAATTCTAATATTTTATTGTAAGAAATTGTTATAAAATTATATTCAAGCGTTGTAAAACTGTAAACTGGCATCATTTCATATCCCTGAAATTTTGAAATGAGTTATGCTATTTTATTTTACAAATGGAATACTTGCTAGTCAGAGAGATCCCTTCCTTTCCATCTATTTACTTTCATTAAAAATATAACTCAAGTATTGCACCATATAGTGACATATAGTTTAGAGCAGGACCTTTTCTACAGACTTTTAAACAGTAATACGGAGGATTTTCTGTCCTAGAATTCCTGTAATCATAATTTTTCTGAATACCTGAAAAAACCCCGGTGGTACAGGACCTACTGGCATGCCATCTCCTGGGGGAATGTTTCCTAGCACTGGACTGGGAGCTGCTGCAGCACTCTGAAAAGAACAAAGGGAAAATAAACCTTTGTCATTGCATGGTAGGCACAAAACCCCCCGCCAAAAAAAAAAGACCAAAAAACCTGCTGTGACCAAAATGCAGAAAGCAATTCATTCTTTCATCTAAAGGTAAATGAAAATTGTATAATGTTTAGTCTTATTTTATACAAGTGTAACAATTTGGTAAAGATCATAAGTATACATTGAAGGGAAGGATGCTAGAGATTGCATGGATATACAGATATGTATCGCTTAAATAGATCTTGACTAAATAAAAAAGAAGTATCTGAAAATGTATGCCTATATGAACACAAATGAGAATGTAACTTGCACACTTTTGCTCTTATTACGTGAGTACAAACATCCCCACTCATGCACACCAATATATATGTAGGATAAGGAAACTAATTTATGCATTTTACCAGCAATTTCCAAGCACTTTAAAGATTATTTCAGCAGCCTGTAATATTCTTTCAGGACTATATCAAGCCTCAAAACAAGGTTCTGTAACAAGCAGCACACAAAGGAACGCTCACGATTCAGCGAGTAATGTTCATGATTCTACCAACCCCCAAAATAACCACCATGGCAAATTAGAAGAATTCAGGTTACATTTTTGGAAAGGAAAAGAAAAAGGGATTCTAAGAAGTGAATCAGAGGATGAAATTAGTTACCTTTGCAAACCCTTCAGTTGAAATAAGCAAATAAAGAATATTGCTTCTGGCAATTTATAAGCAGGAGATCATCACAAAAAGGGAAGCCAAACAGTTATTGTTGCCATGTATTGGAACCTCAATTACTTTTAATTTCTAGCAGTCTTCCTTCCTGAAATATGTTTCTGTTAGGGCATAAGGCTGAATGACCTATAAAGACTTAAAATATTTGTGAAAGTATTCATGCACGCACAATGCAAAGAGAGATGCTTGCAGTTCACTAATGATCTGCCAATATCTGCCCTACAGAATATGAATGACTTTTGTTCATTAACTGATCACTTCATTGTACTCTCACACTTGCTATCCAAAAGATGCCGATCTGTAAATTATATTCCCAGGTGTTTGGCACACTGTCTAGGAAATTAAAGAATAATGCTGTAAAAATTTGAAAACTGGCACAAAGACGAGTTGACCTTTTTAAATCATGAAAAAAAGGAAATATTCAGTTAATTACCACAGATTTTTCAATGGCTTACACCACGCTTCAGAATCATTTTTTTAACAACTACCAGTAATATATTTAGTGTCTACATTGTAGGTTCTTTTCAAACAAAAGCCCAGAGGTACTGTAAAAGTATGAAATTGTAAAAAGTGCTGTTTTCAGAACTGATTTTGAACATTTGATTCATTAGAAAACAGAAATCATTATTTATTCAAAGATTTTTCTTTTTAGAATCAGTGTTAAAATATTATACAGTTGCAGCTGACCAAGTCAGTCACATGAATTGGAGGTAGCAACCACATTTGAATCGTAAAACCTTTTTGTCAGGAACTACCATAAATGAATGAAGCTATTCTGTAAAGTCGCAGCAAATAAAGATGGTTATCTGCTATTTCTTGGCTATTTCTTGGGCACTACCTGAGGTTCTTGGGGCTGGAGTACCATGGAGCTTGACTCATGGGAAAGCACACTGTGAGATGGAGCCTCTCTGGTCCTTCTCCTAGATCTGCGACACTGTCTTGAACTCCAAAACAGCAAGAGAAATAAGTGGTGTGAACGCACATAAATAACTTCTGAAGTACAATATAATTTTGTAATCTTCTCTTTTGTATGGTTTCTGTGTTTATCTACTAATTACTTTGAGAACAGCAGCATTTCCAAAGGAGAGCTGATGTGCCAGTCTGGAGGCTTTTTAGGCAAAAAAAAAAAAAAAAAAAGGACTTGGTAAAACTGAGTACCAGATCATAATGTCAAGTCAAACCATGAACAGGTGCAGAAACACTTTGAGTGAAGTATGTTAGATCCTTCCAGATATTAAGGTTTTTCTAGATAAAGAATGACAGCAGTAACATCACTGATGGTGAAAATCAATAGTGTTAAAAGTAAAGGCACCTTAAAATGTCCACACTACTCTGTAGTGCAGTGCCAGACTGAGAGGGGGCAGCCTGTTAAAGAGGCACTAATAACGATGAACCTGATCACACCATCGCCCCTCTTCACATCCTAATGCCTTCCGGTCCCTCCTCCACCTCAGCTATGTTCACACAACCTGGTGGTCCTGCCTGAAGCACTGTACTATGTCCAATACAGTTGATATTACAGAATAAAAGCATTTGAAAACCCTAAAACAAATCGCTGGCAAACACATCTTAGTAGTGGTAAGTCAGATACATCAAATGCTGTAAATGGGGAGATCACACAAAAGAGCAGCACCTCCTTTGATACGCGACCAGTTTTCAGAAGCCTCCTACCCCAAGTACCAGATTCTTGCTGGCATTATTGAAACTAGATTATGTGAGGCATTAATGCATGTCAGAGTGCCTCAATGCCCAATGGAAAAGGGCTCTCAGATGTCCCTCTCAACTGGGGCCTCTTCCAGACACTGCAGGTTATGCAACAACATTTGTAAGGGAAGGCGAGAGCAACTATTCACAACGCAATGTTCCCACAGGGATAGGGGGATTTGCCCTGGCAGAGCTCACTCTTGTTTGCCACACTTCACAAATCACTTCAAAAGGGATAGAACTGAACAGAGTGAAAAAAAAATTAAAAAAGAGGTTATGTACCTAAAGGTAAAGGAAAGTGGGAGAAGAGATGATCATTATTCTGAAGTGGCAGGGAGGGGGAAGGATGTAATTACATTTGTAAGATTTCTGGCAGCCGTTAAAACTTTCTATCAAAGCATTATTTTAAAAGATGCTTACAGATAACACTTTGGTATATAAGGCTCAATATTTTAAAAATATATTTTGATTACAGTGTTGCTTTTATTTTTTAAAACCTGACTTAGCTGGATACAGAGGAATCCAGCTTTGCTTCCCAGTGAACCTGAGGGAATTGCAGGCAACTCTCACAGCCTGCTAAAATGGCTGCTTGCTGTAATAGCAGGAGCTAGGCAGAAAACTCTTTGTCTCCAGAGGCAAAGACGTGTCTAAAGACACGTCTCCAGATCTGCTGGTATATGGAATGGTGCAAGGTTTGAACTGCCCCAATGGCAAGCCAGTTGTGCCACCCCTTGCTAAAGAGTGGGAGTTAAGCACTGCTTTGGGAATCGCAAGAATTTTGCAGTCGTGGGCCTTCCACCATTTAGATCCTGGTGGAACTAAAATTTCTGTCTTGCATTATGTAATGTACTGTATTTGTTTCTGCTTTCATGTTTGTAGTCTTGGGATTTTTTTTCCCCAATGGGCACTGAAGCCTCAGGAAGAGAAATAAAGCATCTTCAGCATTTTAGAGAGACTATGTTTTCTAGTTTGTCTTTTCTATGCTGTATGATGAACGTTTTTAAAACTAATGCTAGGTAGATCAATAAACAAACCTGCAACAGCTGCACCGAAATATTCTTATTTAGTCTATTCTGATGAATTATTCAGTTCTCCTTTCACAGTCCCACTGCAAACCATAGCTTCTTTTCACATGCATTGCAAGTTGTTCATCATTCAAATTTCCATTTGTTTGACATTTTAAATATTTGCAATTTGCTTCCCCTGCTTTTCATAAAAAGATGAAATAGGAAAATTTAAATTGTTTAATCTCTTCAGACAAGATTTCACCTCCTTAAAAGTGGAAAACTTTATTTGACTTTGTATCTAAAATACCGAGGCATCTCTTTACAATTGTTAATTAAAATGGTCTACTTGACCAGGAACTACCAGGAACTTTTATTAATTTACCCAAGCAACTCTAGACAATGCAAAAACAGATGATTATAGCAAAAAATCTGAAAGAGTCTCCCGAGTAGCTACTGACAGCCAAAGGTCAGACTGGATTTTTATCAATAAAGAAATTAACAATAAATAACAAATAAAAATACAAGTAGACTAGTTATTCCATTCATTTAGTATCTGCAACTATTGGAACCACACATAAAAACCTTACAATATGCAGGTCCTTTTCTGAAGCTATCAAAATAAATAAGTAGTAAGCAATCAAAATATTTTACGAAGAAAGGACTTGAGTTCATCCATAAAAATCCTGCTTTGGCCTTTCACTATTATGGGAATTTAATTTTAGGTATTTTGTTTAGAGTAAGACTTCCTTTTTTTACCCAAAGAAAGGAGCTTAACAAATGTCCCTGTTTTTTCTTTTCTACAAAAAGGCAATATGCAGTTTTTTACACATTTATTTGAAATGAGTGAGAGATGGTGGACCTCATACACGAGGCAGACCTATGGCCATTCTCACCCACTCAATTCCCACATCGTCGGGCCTCTTTCATGGACCTCCTTCCCATCAGCTCTAATCCTGCTGCTCTCCTGGA